CTTCAGTTAAGCCTTGTTAATCGAACTAGATAAACAAAATGGAACGGAGTGAGTATAATTTAATGTCATATCTCATATCTTTTGTAGCATACCGCAACCAATAGTTCGATCGAAATAAAAACGAATATATATAATAGTCTCGTGTCCCATTTTGCTTATCATATTTACTATTCATGGTTGTGACGAAGTTGATTCTAGACGGTAGAAGCGTAAGATGTTAATGAAAATGGTTTTCATATATCACCATAGAGGAAATTTCAATTTTGATCATATGACTATAGGGGTCTTGTTAATTTTAGTCCCTGACTTTCAAAAGTGTCAATTTAGTACTTTAACTATGCAATTTTTGTCAATTTTGGTCCCTCCAGCCAAATTGCCGGTCAAATTTCGACGGAAAATTTTAATAATTAAAATAATGAAGATATTTTGGTCGTTTCATGCCTCTTTTCTTCTTCTCCGGCGAGTCCATCCCTTTCTCTCCCGTTTCCGACGTTCTTTCTCCCTGTAAACCCTATCTTTAATATCATCAAGCCTCCTTTCCCCATCATCTTAGTTCATTGCATTTGCCGGAAACGGGAGAGGAAGGGATGGACTCGCCTGGGAAGAATAAAAGAGACGTGAAACAACCAAAATATCCTCATTATTTTAATTATTACAATTTTCCGGTGAAATTTGGCCGGCAATTTGGCCAGAATGACCAAAATTAACAAAAAATGCATAGTTAAGGTACTAAATTGATATTTTTAAAAGTCATGGACTAAAATTAACAAGACCCCTATAATCATATGACTAAAATTTGTTAGATATATTAAATATAATATATCTATATTATATATATAAATAAATATATATTATATATATATATATAATTGAGAAGAGAGAGAGAGAGAGAGAGAGAGAGGAATAGATAACTTGATTGATAATAAAAGCTTGAATACAAAGACTATTTATACTAGATAAGATAACTCAAATGTAAAAATTAAGGAATTAATGCTCCATGTAAAGCTAACATCATGGCCATGTACTGCACCTATAATTACTCCCATTATTTTTAACCAACTAACTCATCTTACTTGGTTTAATATAATAATAATAATATTATTATTTTTATAACATTGCCTCCTTTAAACCAAGTTGGATATATTGGTCATCCCAATATCTCCTTCTTCAATTTAAGAAATGTCTCCGTCTTCAAGTTGGATATACGGACTTGTATTTCGTTCTGTAAACCCACTTTACTCCAATTGGCTTCTTCCCAAGAGGTACATCTGTTAACTCCCAGGTACCATTCTTCTCAATGGCACGTATCTCCTCATCCATCGCCTTAAGCCAATGAGTTTCTGTAGCAGCCTCCTCAAAAGATAAAGGATCACAATCTGCAAAAAGAGCAAATTGAATAATCTCTTCATCCGACAAGTCATTATCATGACCCAAAACATAATATTGCAAGCGAGCTGGTAAGTGGCGCTCGCGTTGTGATCGTCGAACTGACGACTCTGGCTGTGAAGGAGACTGGACATTATCTGGAATCGGTTGCTCTTCAACAATATTTTCAACAACAGGAATAACAACTGAACTTTCATCTTTAGCTAACCAATCCCAGGCACCATATTCATCAAAAGTGACATCACGACTTATAACAACCTTTTTAGTTTCAGGATTGTAGAGTTTATAAGCCTTTGAAGCGTCACTATAACCAATGAATATGCACTTCTCACCTTTATCGTCCAACTTCTTTCTCAACGGATCTGGCACATGTGCATATGCCAAACATCCAAAAACCTTGAGATATTTGATAGAGGGTTTTCTCCCACTCCATGCTTCTTCGGGTGTCTTATCACGGACACTTTTAGTTGGACACCTATTCAACACATAGACAGCACAAGCAACAGCTTCTGCCCAAAAAGGCTTAGGCAGATTCTTGGATTTCAACATGCACCTTACCATATCCATGATAGACATATTCTTCCTCTCAGCCACTCCATTTTGTTGTGGAGTGTATCTAACTGTCATCTGATGTTGAATACCCTTCTCTTTCAGAAAATTATCACAGGCAATATATTCTGTACCTCTATCAGTTCTCAAGATTTTAATCTCATAACCACTTTGCTTCTCAACAAAAGCCTTAAATTGTTTGAAAACATCACATGCTTCAGACTTTTGCTTCAGAAAGTAGACCCATGTTTTTCTACTGAAATCATCAATGAAAGTAATAAAGTACTTACAACCTCCATGTGAGGGAACCTCCAACGAACACAGGTCTGAGTGAACAATCTCCAACTGTTTTGTAGCTCTCCTTGACTTGCCCACGGGAAAGGGATCTCTATGCTTCTTCCCAATCACACAAATCTCACATATACGATCAGGGACATTCACAACAGGTAAATCAGAAACAAGTTCCTTTCTCACAAGATAGTTTAACCCAGAGAAATGAAAATGCCCAAACCGCATATGCCATAACTAATTATCATCACAAACTTCAGAATTAAAGCAATCAAGGAGAGTATGCTTAATTTTCAAAGGAAATAGTCGATTTTGGGACATATTTACCTTTGCAATCAAAACTCCTTTAGCATCTTCAATGGTACAACACCCCTGAGCAATATGTATCTTATATCCTTTTTCTGACAACTGACCCAAACTCAACAAATTTTGGTGTAGTTCAGGAACATAGAACACATCGGATATAAAATTGTGAGTACCATCCTTCAACTGAATAGAGATTTTACCTTTTCCCAAAATTGGCACCTTTGACTTATTGCCAAATGTCACTTTAGACCGGACTTATTCATCCAATTCAGAAAACAATTCTTTCTTCCCACACATATGGTTACTACACCCAGTATCCAAGAACCAAATGTTCTTATCTGCAGAAAAACTATCGCTGGCTAAAAGTAAAGTTTCAGAACTCTCACCAGACTTTTCAGCAGTGTTTTCAGCAATGTTTGCTTGATTTCCACGATTGTTGTCCTCATTATACCAACAATCTGCAATCTTGTGCCCATACTTGCCACAATTGTAGCAATGAAATGGAAATTTACCTTGTTTGGTATTACCTCCACCTCTTCCTTGGTTGGAGTTACCATGTCCTCCTCCTTGGTTGAAGTTACCACGACCTCTTCCACTAGAACCTCCTCGTCCTCTTCCACGACCTCTACCAGATCCTCCACCTCTTTGATTAGTGCCAGTCACATTAAGGGTGACTTGGCTCTTCAAAGCTTCTTCTGCTAGTGGTTCCGATTTTGACGCAATCCTGTCAATATGACTTTCTACCATACCTTTCCGCTCTGCAATTGATAAGAGCTCGGTTTTGTGTGACTCTGTTATTGAAGCCACCACATGGTCATACTTCATCGGCATAGTTCGAAGAACTTTTTCAACCATTGCACCATCTTCAATCGTATCTCCATATAGCCTCATCTTATTCACCATATCAATAAGACGAGTGAAATACGCATCTACTGTTTCTGTAGAGGTCATCTAACAATTATCGTACAACCTTCTCAACGACTGCAACTTAGACTTCTGTGCCCGATCAACTCCTTTGTGTGACACCTTTAAGATGTCCCAAGCTTGTTTTGTTGTTTGAGCACGAGCTAATTGCCCAAAAATGGAATAATGAACACCTTGGTTAATCTGACCCAACGCCAATTTATCTCGCCGTATAGCGCCTGCATCAGCTCCTTCGGGTAGACCGGGATCAACAAAGCTCCAAAGATTTTGAGCTTGCAAATGTGTGGACATCATAATTTGCCAATAATTGTAATCGAGTTTCCCGTCCAATTTGGGACCCGTCCATACAATATTGAAATTTGCAGCCATATTTCACTACGGGAAATATCTCGGGGTTGAAAGGTTGACTGGCTCTGATACCAAATGTTAGATATATTAAATATAATATATCTATATTATATATATAAATAAATATTATATATATATATATATATATATATATATATATATATATATATATATATATAATTGAGAAGAGAGAGAGAGAATATATATATATATATATATATATATATATATATATATATAATTGAGAAGAGAGAGAGAGAGAGAGGAATAGGTAACTTGATTGATAATAAAAGCTTGAATACAGAGACTATTTATACTAGATAAGATAACTTTTTTTTTTTTTGAATGCTACTAGCTCTATTACAATGTAGTATCTGTTCATATACTTTCTCAACCTACTGAAACAGAAAGAGCCAATAACGCCTCCACTGAGACTCGAAATCACAATCTTCCAAATGGAAGTCCAACCCGGATACCATTAGACCACATAGTCCTGGTTACTAGATAAGATAACTCAAATGCTAAAATTAAAGAATTAATGCTCCATATAAAGCTAACATCATGGCCATGTACTGCACCTATAATTACTCCCATTATTTTTATCCAACTAACTCATCTTACTTGGTTTAATATAATAATAATATTATTATAACAAAATTGAAATTTCCTATATCACCATATGCAATAATTCTCAATTTTTTCTTGATGAAAACGCAAAGACTAGTCTGACGACATTTTTGGCGTTAGTCATGCTCCATCGTTTACACTTTTCCATTTAGTCTGACATTTGTCATTCACATTCACCTAAGCTACGTTTTTATACCACAATTTGTAATTCACATTAAAGTTTGAAAATCATTTAATGTGAAAGTAATCTGATTTTTAGGAATTAAAAGTTGTATTTATCTTATTTCATTGATTAGGTCGGTAACACTAATTATTTATACCTTAGCTCATAGCTCATTAGCAACTACCAAGCAAAGTCATATTCAATTCATAGTTCTACAATTCACTAGATCTCCATGGCTACCCTTTCTTACTTGTTTCTTTTTGCAATCTTCATCATCCATTCCAGCTCAATTTGCTTTGTTCAGTGTACTACAAATATTAGCACTGATCTATCTGTTCTTTTGTCTCTCAAAGCCCAACTCACTTTACATGATCCAAACAATATGTCACTTTACCAATTGGTCTACTGCCACTTCTATCTGTCATTGGATTGGAGTTCACTGTGACTCGCAACACCATAGGGTGGTGGCATTGAATATTTCAAATATGGGTTTGTTAGGCCAATTTCCTAACTCCTTAGAAAATCTCTCCTTTTTGTCCTTCCTGAATATGAGCAATAATAATTTCATCGGAGAGATTCCTCAACAACTCGGAAATCTTCAAAACTTAAAGGTGATAGATACACATCGTAATCAACTTGCGGGTGCATTTCCATACTCAATGTTCAACATCTCTGCACTTGAATATATTGATTTTTCAAATAATAGTTTGTCAGGTATTCTTCCCCCAAACATATGCCATCAACTTCCAAATCTCAAAATGCTTTACTTATATATGAATGACTTTAATGGTCCACTCCCGGCAAATTTATCTGCATGTTCAAAACTTAGAGCATTGAGTTTGTCATACAATATGTTTGATGGGTTGATACCTAAAGAGCTTGGCAAGTTGAAGATGCTTCAAAAACTAATTATTGGTGGTAACAATTTAGCAGGTATTATTCGATGCATCTTTCTCTATATTGACTTAATTAAATTTCTAAAATTAACTTCAATTTAGTCAATTTTTCCCCTCGACTATCGTTTTTTCAGATACATCCAAAGAGAGTAAATGTACAAACTATGGCTAAAGTCGCAACTTATATTTTACATGACCTCAATTTGAGACAGAGTATTTAATTTTATACAATTTATTGTTTCATAGGAACAATTCCACGTGAATTGGGTAATCTCCATAATTTGAAGACATTCAGCATAGAAAGCAACCAGATTATAGGCTATATACCAACCTTCATTTCCAACATGTCATCACTTCAAATCTTGTCATTGAGGGCCAACAAGCTCATGGGATCCATACCTAGAGAGATTGGAAATTTATCATCTCTTCAAGTTTTAGTGCTTGGAGAAAACTACTTCAAAGGTACGTTTCAAAAGCCAATTAATTAATGTTCCAAAAGGAATTTTTGAAATTCTAATGGCCTGTCACCACTCACCGTATAGAATTTTAATTATTGTATGTTGTGCTATATAACAGGTATGATACCTAGAGAAGTCAGCTATCTTTCTAAATTGGGATTCATTAAACTTGAGGATAATAATCTAAGTGGTTCTATACCTGAAGGGCTCTTCAACATTAGTACAATGCGTATAATTAATCTTTCAAGAAATCATCTTTTGGGTAGTATTCCTTCAACTATGTGCTCTTCACAAACCAATCTTGAAGATCTTGTTCTATTCCAAAATGTGTTAAGTGGAATCATTCCTCATTCAATTGCAAATTGTTCCCAACTCTCTCTTATATCTCTCACGGCTAACCATTTCATTGGCTCCATTCCAAACTCTCTTGAAAACCTTAGCCTTCTCCAAACTCTTGAAATGGCTGAAAATAAATTAGCATCTAATCCTTCCTCTCAGGAATTAAGCTTCATAACTTCTTTGACAAAATGTAGAAAGTTGAAAACACTAGATGTGGGTGATAATAGTCTACATGGAATTCTTCCAAGATCCATTGGTAATTTGTCTTCCACTCTACAAATCTTTGTTGCATAGAGTTCAGGGTTGTATGGTACCATCCCAGATGAAATTGGCAATCTAACTGGTCTAGAACGTTTAGTAATGTCTGCTAATAAATTGAGTGGAACAGTTCCAAACACATTACAAAGGTTACATGGTCTTGCACGTTTGGATCTGACTGAAAACAAATTAAGTGGTCCACTAACTAGCAATCTTTGTAAGGTGCAAAATCTGGGAGCAATTTATTTGAGCAAAAATGGTCTTTCCGGCCCCATCCCGGAATGCTTAGGGAACATTACTTCTCTACGATATATCCACCTTGCTTCAAATAGAATGAATGGTATAATATCTTCAAACATTTGGAACCTGAAAAACCTCTTGACACTCAACCTATCTTCTAATTCCTTTAGTGGAGCACTGCCTTATGAAATCGAAAATCTAGACGTTTTATATATTCTAGATTTGTCAAACAACAACTTATCTGGGAACATTCCCAACACAATTAGAAGCTTACAAAATTTGATAAACCTTTCTTTGGCACAAAACCAAATGCATGGACAAATTCCAGAGTCAATAGATGGGATGCTAAGCTTGGAATCACTAGACTTGTCACATAACAATCTCAATGGTTCAATTCCCTCGTCCTTACATGCAATTGTATATCTGTACCATTTGAATGTCTCTTTCAATAACTTAATTGGTGAAATTCCATCAAATGGTCCTTTCAAAAACTTTACAAGCTTATCATTTCTATCCAATGAAGCATTGTGCGGAGATGCCAGGTTTGGAGTTCCACCTTGCCATCGAAGGTCTAAAGAAAAAAGAATTCTTCGATATATTTTGATGGCCTTGGGAATTACAAGCCTTATCCTAGCTTTGGCAGTGGGAGTTGTGTTGATTACTTTTTGGAGAAAAAAGAAGCATACAAAGAATGAAGAATTGTTACGTATTAATGAGGTGGAGAGAGTATCATACTATACACTTTTACATGCAACAAATAGATATAATGAGAAGAATGTGATTGGTGTAACACCCCGTGTTACGACCCCTAAGATCAATTAAATCATTTAATCAATTACCCAAAAGAAAGAATTAAATCACAGTAATTAATTAGGAAGGCCCACCATAGTCCACGGGCCCTTACCCCTAAACCCAATCCTTAGTCCCAAAAGAAATAGAACTAGCAAGCCCATAATATTAGTTCCTAACTGGGACACCTAAATATACAAATAGGGGACTCAAGAGGCACCTAGAAACCCCCACAAGAATAACGCCCCACCTCCCCGAAGAGCTCCAAGAATCCCCCTAGAAGAAATCAAGAAAGCAAGAAAGCTTAAAGAAAGACCCTTCATAGCCAAGGAATTAATTAAGGCTAAGAGGTAACCCATGTCTCCACAAAACCTATTTTCATAGCTATGATTTCCCCCGTAGGATTTCCCCGTATTATTGTGTATTGGTGACTTGTGATATTATTATTGATGATTGATGGGATAATTCCATGGGTGATCTTGATATTGGGAGATTCTTGATAATTATGGTGTTCTTGATGATTATGTGGAGTTCTTGATGATTATATGTCGTTCTTGATTATTGTACGGCATTCTTAATGCTTATGTGTTATTTGTACCGAATCTTGTAATTAGAAGACGAACCGTATTCTTGTTGATATAAAAGTGATTAGAACCCTAGGTTGTATCGTATGATCTTATTCTTGGTTTATCGGGTGGGGAAATCGCATGTTTGGGTGTTGATTATATTTAGAAAAGCATGATAGGTTATGTGCCGTTCGTTTCTTGTATTCGATTCGTTAATTGTCTACGTGTTGCCGTTAATTGCATTGTAAAGTGTCTAAGCATGGTTTCGGGTTCCACAACGGTTCCCGGGGCGTAAAGTGTGTGAAAAGAGTCAGTGGGGGGTAGGGGACCCGCCACCTACCCACGGCCGTGAAATACCGCCCGGCAGCGGGTGGCCGGCGGGCGGGCAGTTGCCCGCCGGCGACCCGCTGCCCGGAACAGTGAAGTCCGGCGGGCAGCCGGCGGGTGGCCCCCCACCCACCGGCTACCCGCTGGAAATTATCCCACCTTGGGATCCCGGCTTCCCCGTTTGATGTTCCCCCGTTCCCCGTGGTGTCCCAACGGACTCCGTTTATCGTGCCTATGTCTAGTTTGATATTTCGGGTACCGTTCGTAGGTTATGGGTCTATTATATTGCATGCTAGTTGAATTGGTATCCCGTTGACCTAGGTGGAAGAAGCATGAACCCCTTAGGACTATTCTTAGTATGTGAGGGATCACGCATAGGTTTTGTTATACGTTTTCTCCCCTTCCCAACATGTTAATGTGGGTTGCATGTACTTGCTATATGTTATGTGTGTGTGTAACCCCGAGTTGGTTGAGATCAATCGGGCTATACGGGCAGTCGGATGGGCTGAGAACCATACCGGCTGTTAACCAGGCTGGTAGAGACCGGTCAGGTATATAAATATTATATAGGACTAAGTTCCACTATACGGGCAGTCGGATGGGTTGAGAACCATACCGGCTATTAACCAGGCTGGTAGAGACCGGTCAAGTATATAAATATTATATAGGACAAAGGTCCACTATACGGGCAGTTGAATGGGCTGAGAACCATCTCAACTGTTCACCAGGCTGGTAAAGACCGGTCAGGTATATAAATATTATGTTGGACAAAGGTCCATCAGCCGGTTGCGATCGGCTCCTCCGTAATGTGAGACGGGGCAGGGTGCTGCGGGGCCGTGCCAGAGCTATATGCGCTGACCCTCATGTATGGGCATGCGATTGGTCCTGTGGCGCCAACAAAGTGTGCTATTTGATGAGATATGGATGAGTTGTGTTTATGAGTATATTGGGGGATTTGACTATGGGATTTATGCTAGGGATTGTGTATGATGGGTTATGATTATTATTCGTGATCAGCTTTATCTGTCTTGCCTGTTGTGGATTGTATACGCTTGATTATAACTGTTGCTTGTGTCTAGCCTTATCTGTCGAGTCATTCCCGGTTTTAAAAGCTAGAGTCTCGTAGGATATATCTTCATGCTTCAAAATGGTTTTCGTATATCTATATAGATCTCTATATGTATTGTATTTCAACGCGTTGGAGTGGGTTACCAGCATCTCTCGCTGAACAGATATATTTGGCTTTCAGGCACAGAAGAATAAGTCACTGGAGCGCGCTAGAACTTGGAGCGTAGAAGTAGATAGTTTCTCTTCCGGCCTGCGTGCCATGTTTATGCATTTACATTACTAAGGATATTAGATAGTTAGCCTGTGCACCTGAGTTCTCTAGCTCAGGTGTGGCATAGCACCCCGCACTCTTGTATTATGTTTTGGGATTTAATGAGATTTCACCTTTATTTTATAAGTTTTAAGTATCTTGAAAATCTGGGGTGTTACAGTTGGTATCAGAGCCTAAGTTTGACCCTAGGATAAGACTCTTAAGACCGGACTTTAGGACATTAGGCTTGAGATTGTGAAACCTACACATAACCCCCCTCCTCACTTTATCCCTCTCTAACTTAAAGGAACTCTCCCCTTCACTTATTGCATCACGGTAAGAACACAAAATAACATCGACCTATGAACTCCAGGATGGCACCGAGAAGAAGACAGGTAGGAACGCCAAAACTCCCCACGGAGGAATTCCTGACTCAGAATCTGCAACGCCTGGCCCAAATTGCCCAGGCACTAAGTACTACCGTACCCCAGCCTTTACTGAACGAGAACTTGGAAATCTACCACCAAGTCTCGTCACACCAACCACCCACCCTCTCAAGAAACAAAGACCCCACGACCCTCGAGGAGTGGATCGGGACTTTCGACAAGATATTCAAGGCAACTAAATGCCCCGAGGGCCACCAAGTAAGAATGGCCTCCTTCTACTTCAGACACGAGGCCGACACCTGGTGGGCTCACGAAGGACCCACCCTTGAACAAGACCCCGGATTCAGCTGGGAAACCCTAAAAACGCGGCTACGAGAACAATTCTATCCCAGCCACCTAAGAGCCACCATATACGAAGAATTCCTCCACCTAAAACAAGGTGCAACCTCGGTCACGGAATACTACCAACAATTCCACCGACTGGCTCGCCTCATCCCCGAGCTAGTACCCACCGAGAGGGTCAACACCGAAAGGTTCATAACGGGCCTTGACCCCGAATATCAAAAATCCTTAGCCACACAAGAGCTAGGAACCCTCAGGGAAGCCTATGCCAAGGCATCCCAGCTACAACAAGTGCCAAACCAACCCCGGGAAACACGCCTGGGAAACAAAAGGAAATCAGAAGGAAATCACATGAACCCCACCCGCAGCCTTAAAAGCCCCAGGGCCGCCTCACCCCACTTAATCACAACGCCAACCGCTCAAGGAAGAATCCTCACTCTAAGCAAAGCCAAAATTGGGGATAGCAACATAGTCTCCGGAACCTTCCTAGTACACGCCACCCCCGCCACAGTGTTGTTTGACTCAGGGGCTACCAACTCATTTATAGCAACCGAGTTTGCCACTCGGCTCGGCCTCAACACCAGCACCAAGGTCCGACTCCAGGTCAAAGTGGCCTCCGGCGAAATCCTAGAATGCGACCGCATGTACAAGAATATAATGATCACCATACAAGGGATGGAATTTCCCAGCAACTTAATCCGATTCAAACTGGATGGGGTACAAGTGATTTTGGGCATGGATTGGCTAGGAAAATACCAAGCACAAATCCTATGCGGAGAACAAAAAGTGGTCCTACGAGGACCAAACGGTAAGATGGTATCTTACCATGGAACCCACCAGGAAGCCGGGATCAAATTGGTAAACATGATGAAAATGAAGAGATACCTAAACAAGGGAGGCGAGGCCTTCCTATGTTCGGTCGAGGACCTCAGCACCAAAACCCCCGAACCACAAACCATCCCAGTGGTAAGCGAATTCACCGACGTCTTCCCGGACGAAATCCCCGGGGCACCCCCAGTCAGAGAAGTCGAGTTCACCATAGATCTCGTACCGGGCACTGCCCCAATT